ATGGTGATAGTGGTGTGTATTCTACATGAAGAAAAGCAAATTGGAAAGAAGCAGAACAACCAAAGCACATGAATAAACTTCACTTCTGAATAACACACCAATGACCAGTAGAAACATGGTTTTCACAAATTCTTTAAGGAAAAGATTATAAAATATGTCGGAAGAATGTGAAAGAAACGAGTACCTTCTTTTGCACAATGGAGGAACAGACTCTATCAGAAAGTGATGCACTACTACATATCATTCTGCAAAAAGACACAAAAAACCTGAGAAAAGAAACAACACTGTGCATCATGAAAGCATTAGTTTTAGCAGAAACCTTCATGGAGCAGACGATAGTGTTTGCTCAGCCTTGTTGGAGAATGCTCCATACCATTTCAAATTCTCCTAATCTGTTACAGGATTATGTTGCAGAGGAATGTGAAAAAGTTTAAGCCTGATGTGGAGGGGCATTAGTTTTATACATGTTAAGTTCAAATGTATGAATCTCTATATTTCTTGTACAGGCTTCACAATTTTAATTTCTTACTTCCTCCTAATAACCCCGTAAAATAATTTTTTATTTAATTTTAATTTTTTATTTCATTTTAATATTTTTTTATTAACAACAGTTGTAAAATGATTTATCAATAAAAGGGTGTCAAAATAACTTTTTCCTTACCGAAAACACTCTTTCTGTTTTATACTGATAAAAAAAAATCTTAGATTTTAGTTATCTTTCGAGATATTTCAGAGAGTATGTAAATACAAGTGTTCAAATTTTAGAGTTTCTATTTGAGAAGGTTAATGATTTTAATCAATTTCTCCTTTTAAGGATAAACACATTTTCAATTTTTTAGAAGTTTAAATTTTTGTTTAGTGACCTTAAAAAATTGAGTTTAAAATGATATAACTTGTATATATATATATCTCTTAAAACAATCATATTTTCCAATATATGTAAATGTAACAAATTAGTGACTAATCACTTAAGGGTTTAATAATTAACAATAATTGAAATGTCAGCTCTTAATCAGACATTTGGTATACTAGTGCAGAAAAGGCCTTTAACGTCACCCTTTAGACGTTGGATCCTCTATCTAACGTAAAAAATGACCGATGGCATTTTCTATAGATAAAACAACCATATAGATTTCTGTTCTGGAGAGAACAGACGTCTAAAGCCATATAGACGTCTGATGTGGGGGGAACGAACTTCTATATACTCATTTTTTAAATCTAAAAAATCACTTTTTGACTCCATTTAGACATCAGATCCCGCCAATCCGACTTCTACAACCATATAGACGTCCAATGTGGGGGGAACCGACCTTTATATACTAATTTTTGAAATCTAAAAAGTCACTTTTTAACTCCATTTAGACGTCCAATCCCACCAATCTGACATCTAAAGCCATATAGACGTCTGATGTGGGAGGAACACACTTATATATACTCATTTTTGAAATCTAAAAAATCACTTTTTGACTCTATTTAAAAGTTAGATCTCTACAGCCATATAGACGTTCGATGTAGGGGGAACCGACTTCTATATACTCATTTTTTAAATCTAAAAAGTCACATTTTAACTCCATTTAGATGTTCAATCCCGCCAATTCGACTTCTACAGCCATATAGACGTTCGATGTGGGGGGAACCGACTTCTACAACCATATAGACGTCCGATCCCACCAATCTGACTTCTGTAACCATATAGACGTCTGATGTGGGGAGAACTGACTCCTATATGGCTGCGTTAAAACACCGCGAACGTGAGGCAGCAGTTACGCACATTTAATGTTCATCATCTTCCTTGCATTTTCTCTCTACGGGTTACACTTTTCAGGTTCGTTTTCTCACTTTTGCACCGTTTTAAATTAATTTTACTTTGATTACATCACTCTTTGATGCATTATCTTTCATTTGAACCGATTAAAATGTGTTTTCGTTGGGTTTTGGTGCAGTTTTGCTCATGTCCTTGGGCGGCGTTCCTGGGCGGCGATTTCTTTCGTTTTGCACTCCTCCAATTCTCTCCACTACGTTTTTAAAACCATCCAATACAAAAAAAACGTACAATACATTCTCTTCAATTAAAATATAAAGTTGTAAACTCGAATCACCATGAGCCAGGAGCAACCTGAGAGGCCTCAAGCGGGAAAAGATCCAATCAAATATGGTAATGTTTTAGACGTCTGATCTATAGTGTCAGACGTCTAACCTGTATGGATTAGACGTCTATATAGACGTCTGACCTATTGGGTCAGACATCTCATTAAGGTCACTCATATAGGTGTCGGACAAAGATCAGATGTTAAAAACCCAAAATAACAGACGTCTAAAGCCCTTTCTGCACTAGTGGTAAGTCCCAAAATGACAATATTTAGGTGGGTACTTAAAAAAAAAACATGCCATTAAAAGTGTTACTTTTGAAGGACACACTTTTTCATATTATAAGAGTTAATATTCCGTTATCTTTTATATTTACGGGTTAAAATTTCACTCTATAATATAATATTATATATGTTAAATATGATGAGTGATTCTATTTTGTAAATCTAGAATCCTAACCAAAACTGTGGGTTAAGAAAAACAAAAGATAAAGAGAGAAGTTTCATTTGGATAGATTTTGATGATAGTTATCAAACTTTTTACTATGTGTTTGTTGAAACATATAATTTGGTAAATAGTGTACTATTTACACCTCTCATCTCCTTCCCAGCTATCCTTCTGTTTAGGACCCTCTGGCCCATTCTTTGGACCCCAATTCATGCAATAATTTAACCATGGTGGCTCTCTAATTTCAGACCCCAAATATTCAGCACCAACTATTTGAAACCCATTTGCCATATCCATCACTGCATCACTTTTAGCAGCATCATTCCTCACCCCTAACCCTCTCATCCCTTGCATAACCAGCCCAGTTTTTGGGAACAATGCATGCCCATGCAAGGAAGAATAAGCCACAACCCTATTCCCATTTTGGAACTCCAACTCACATGCATCCACCCATTCACCCCTACTATGCTGTGACAAATATACCTTCCACAGTTCTCCATTGAAGTTGCTTACCCTTAATGTCACATGCTCCCAATCCCCAACGTGTTCCCCTTTTCCCCTTAGAGTAATGTTGGTGCATGCCACCTTTGCCCTTGCACCCCCATTAAATGGGTAGAAAACCCACATCACAATGTCACTGAAACTCCCACCCAGCATTGGTTTCACATGAACATAAGCTTCTGCACTTTCCAAATCTCCTTTCTTTACCTTAACTCTCTTGGCTTCATCCAATGGAAGGTCCAACCAATATGTAACTCCATCATCAAAAGAACCACCTTGGGGAAGGTTTGAGCCATTTTCTCTTATTGCATTCTCCCTTATCACACCCTTTCTTTTCTCCATCAGCACTGCCCCATTGCTGAAAAACCAGTCCACAGAAGAAGGGAGGTACTCTTCCATGGGGTGCAAGTACATGTACGGAGAATAGGCCTTGATCATTGCCTCAACTTGAGATAAATTGGGCATGTAGGAAAAACTTGCCTTTGTGTTTTTCAAACAAACTATAGGTAAAGGTTTAGGGTTTGTCCCTCCTCCACTTTGAGCTAGGAAGGTTCCTACACTTACACCTTGAGCTCCAATGCCTCTCTTCATTGGTCTAACATCAAACACACCAAACCTCTTGCTTTCTGTTCTCCAAAGCTTCATTGAATTGTATCTTGTGCATTCATCGGTGAGGTCTGATCTGACACACCTGATTCTGTCAAGAGAAGGCTTTTCTGGTGAGGTGGTGACAACATAGCCCACAGGTTTGTACTCATCTGGGGCTATCGGTAGCCAAATGTAACCTTCTTCATCTTGCTTTGTTTTCAAGGACCTAGTGGTCCACACCATGTTGTAATCAACTGGTTTGGCTAAAGCTCCATTAGAGAGTGAAGAGTTATCTTTGCCCACAAGAACCCAACCATGAAGAGGCATGTTGTTAGGTTGGCAGTAACATCCTAGCATGAAGAATCCTTCAGATAAACCTGTTGGTTCAAAAAATGTCACCCCAAGATTGTTTGCTCCACCTTCAAAGATAGTCCAAACTTTGTTGAATGTTGTGATTTGTGACACTAGCAACCCACCACCAAGGTCAATGATGCCTGTTGCAAATCCACCACCTACAAAATCCATGACAAGCCAGAAAAAACCATCACGGAAAATTACCATAACCAAATGAATCAGAAATTTTGGCCACCTTGTTTCTTATCTTATTATGCAGAACAGAAATGAAGATATGCATATTGAATATATAATGCTGCTACCTGGTGGCCAAACTGGTATTTCAGCAGGAAGTTTAAATGTGCTTCCAATAGGCAAATTTTTCTTTTTCTTGTGAGAACCTACCATTGCTGTGTTTTCAGAAGTTGAAT